TATATATATATATATATATATATATATATATATATATATATATATATATATATATATATATATATGTGTGTGTGTGTGTTATTTTTCAATAGTTTAACATTTAAATCCATAAAGCAACAAATTACAGAAGGCTTTGGGCCATGGATTCGGGCATCGGGCCAAAAAGAGCGGGTATTGTGCCAAGGATATCGGAGTTGCGGAGTCAACTGGCCGAATGGGCAATAGGCCACAGGAGAGGACGATGCGCCGAAGAATCGGACGAAATGTCGAGAGACCAATGACATGCCGGACAACTTGATTAATTGCTTAGGAGTAATTGTCTAGATCGAACTTTTGTTTTACATGTGCAGGATTAACTACGATAACTTGAAAATATAAAGCAAGTCTACCGAAGTCAAGTTCGATGGGTGTTCGAGAGTCCAAAGATTCGTCGGAGATGCTGCCGAAACCAACCGAGAAGAAATCGGGGACTTGTCGGAGTTTTCGGAAGTCCGCCAAAGAGATCGTCGGAGGTTCGCGGAGATCACCGAGAAGGCTCGGCTACTCGCTGAACTCGCCATAAGATCGGGAGCCTATTGGGAGTCCATCGGAAGAAATCCGAGGGTGTATCGGAAGTCCGCCAGAAGATCGCCGGAAGGAGACTCGACGTTTGCCGGTTGAAAACTTGCTTAGGACTATGTTTTCAGTTGCGTAATTTGTATGTAATTAGGGTTAGGATTAAGGGATAATCTTATATCCTGGTTAGGGGCCAACTAGGCCCGATATTACCTAGTTTGGGCCAGATTTGAAGCCCATCTAGTGACCTGTAGGACCGAGCGGTGGCACCGCCCAGAACCCGAGGATCGGGCGATAGTACCGCCAGACTGGGCGGTGGCACCGCCTAGCACCCGAAAGGTCCGGGGGTGGCACCGCCAACATCGGGAACCCAAGAGAATTCAAAATTTGGAGCCTAAATTTGAATCCTCTTAGGGCCTATAAATACCCCTTAATTCTCAGTTGAGATAACAACCTTTGAGAAGTTAGAGATTGAGATAAAGCCTTAGCAAAGTCTTTAGCAAGTCTTGTTTTCAATTGCTTGAGTGTTCACATCCTTCTTTGTCATTGAAAATTTGTAAAAGTGTGAACCACTTGTAAAAGGTTGTAAAAGGGGTATTTGTCCTTCCCCTTCAAAGTGATTTGCTAGTGAAAGTTGGGAGCCTCATCGAAGAAGGCTTCATAAGTGGATATAGGTCATTTTGACCGAATCACTTTAAATTGGTGTGTTTCTTGAATGTGTGAGTATTTACTTTTCTGAAACCGTTATTTACGTAGCAGCAAGCTTTCGATTTTCATCTTCTCACTTTACTCGAGCTACTTTCACCAAGTCATTCATTGTTGAATCGAAATCTCTACACATTTACGAAATCGTTTTCAAACTTATGAGTTTTAATCCGCTGCACTAATTCACTCCCTCCTCTTAGTGTCGCTCCGATCCTAACATAACCGATCGTCCGGGGCAAGGGAGAGGAGAAGAAATGTGGCATCCCCTAGGCCAAGTACAAGAAGGGGGATTGGAGGAACATCTTATGGTGGGCAATGAAGACAAGAACACTGACGTAAGTCGCTAGCCAAGCCTAGAAGTTCTTCATCCGTCGGAACCAGAATAATGGCGCTAAGAGCAGAGACACAAAGAGAAAGAGCATCCATGATATCATATAAAAATTAAGACTATACTTATTTTATGAAATTAAATATATGATGGATTAGAATCAACTAAGTATTAATCGGTGATTAAAAATCTAAAAAAATATTAAAAAGGTGACAGTACGAGTTTGCATCCATGCATTCTTGTTGATGCCAAAAGTTTATATGAAATTATGTTTTTACCTCTTCCATTTACGACGAATTTGACGGAGAATTGAATTAAATATTTTTTTTTTAAAATATAGGAACCGGAATGCTAATATCATGTAACTATATGGAGTAATCTATAATTACCTTGAAAAAATAGAGACTCAATTGGCTGCAGTCACTATTATTTCCTTTTTTATTTATTTGGAGTATGCTAATTTTGTGGATTTGCAAGAGCAGTTAACAATGTATACAAAATAAGCGCAGATTAATAATCTTTAGGCAGAAATATTTTTGCATGTAAATAGAACAAGTTTTGTATCCTTTGGCGACTCATGCATTAACTAACGCAGTCATGTTTTCTTAAATATTGGATGAAATCAATGTATTGGCGACCCTCGATGAGACGGACAATCCAATATTAACAGTGCCGAGTCCCCAACCTTGTGTTTATCCACGTCTGTCTACGCGGTGGGGAGATGCGTCTCGGCGACATCAAACTCGGTGGTGCAGACGTCAACGTACTCTCCCTTGGTGTCGTCCTCGTCCAAGTAATCCGACCTCGCATTCAGCGTTAGCATCTGGCAAACAAGCCAAAAGAGAGCGGCATCGAGGGCGAGGAAGGCGCCACCGCCGAAGAGCCCCGTCTTCGCGGTTGGGCACTGCGTGGTGAGATCACGGTGCACGTTGCGAGACCTGTGGAGGCTTTCGCTGATGGTAGTCCACAGCAGCATCACCAAAGCCAGAACCGTGAGTACCCTGAAACCACAAAGAAGCACATGTGAAGGAGTTTTCGCAGGGTAGGTTCGAGAGCCGGCTCGCTTGCTTACTCGGCGAGGACAAAGAATGTAGACAAGGTAGCGCTCCGAAACAAAGCATTTCTTGGGACCGACTTGCCCTTGTAAGGGAAGTAAACAGCAACGTGCCCTGCAATGGCAGCTAGAACGAGTGTGACGACAGATAGAGTCCCCAGTAAGATGGACGGATCATCTGGGAACTTGCAGATCACTGCATCCTTTGCTTGGATTGGAGTTCCGAAGGGAGGCTGTCGATCGAGCACATGAACAGAAACAACCGTGTGAGGTCTAAGAAGAAAATAAATTTTCTGAAATAAAATATCATGGATGCTCACTGTAACATTTCGTTCTGGATAATAATGTCAAATAAATTGAGATGTAAGAAAGGACCTTTGAGGTTTCTGCAAATATAGCTAGTAAGAAGGAGATGAACCCAAGACAAAATACACAAGCTCCAATTCTAGCGGTCTGACTAAAGGCCATTGTTTCTCCTGCCATATGGAAGGGAGTTTAATCCAAATAATAGTAATAATATAAAAAGAAAATGGAACGTAATAGTAATAAGATCAAATAAGCTAAACTAGATTAATTCAACAACAAATGGAGAGAATAGGTAGTCTGGAATCTCCAAGACAAAATTTTCATACCAAATGTTTCTAGAGAGACAGATAAAGGATTATGGGATGGTTTCCACTCCATGCAACCAAATCTCATATATACTCGACGGAGGCAAGGGCATTTGTCCTTAAATAGGATTAATGATCTGGTGACAATACCGTAGGTCGGTATTTTCTCTTAGTATTGTATGGTTCGAATACGTTCATCAACTGTACATCTTACGGGCTCCAACATCGGACAATTAGAAATGTGATGGTGTAACCGTGACTTGAGAAATAGGAATTCGTTATGTGAGATAGTTTGCATAGGCCATAAAAATTCAGATGATCATAGTTTTTATGTCATAATGTCGATTCATTGTCCTATACTAATTAGATTTTGTTTAAACTAGAAATAAACATCACATCATCAATAAATTTTTTATTAGATTTGGTGTTCACAATAATTATTCATTTTCCTTCCACTTGTATCTTATTACCATTTCCCATATGTACTATAGACTTGATTGAATCATCAAGTTTTTAAAACAAACTTTTGTTCCTTGTTATATGATTACTACATCTATTATCCAAAAACCAAATAGATATAGAATATTCTTAATTAGATGCTATT